CCTCAGCCTCCCAAGTAGCTGGGACTACAGGCACCTGCCACAACGTCCGGCTATTTTTTGGTTGCAGCTTTCATTGTTGTTTGGCGGGCCTGGGCTGGATTTGAACCCGCCAGCTCAGGTGTATGTGGCTGGTGCCTTAGCCACTTGAGCTACAGGTGCCAAGCCTGTTCTCTTTGATTTTAAAACATCATTTTCAGAAATAAAATTTTTGAAAAACTGAACATAGAAATTTTCTGGAAAATGTAGCTTGTGTGAGTCTTAAAATTCAAATCACAATGGACTCTTTTTCTCTGTATTTATGGCATCAGCTCAGACCCTCCATAGTGGTGGTAATAAAATATACTGTAAAATATACTATAGACAAAGCTGTGCTGGGCCAAATACTTTATATATACTCTTGTGGTTGACTTAGTCTTCCCTTCCTTGTAACTGTAAAATTCTCTTTTATAATTATAGTAGTAAAACCTAGAGAGATTTAGAAATTTCCCAGGGCATTAACAATGAGGTGGAAGAGCCAGCATTTGAATACAGAAGTTTCTGGCTCCAAAGCGTGAGTTCAGCACCAGTAATTGGTTCTTCCTGAGTAGTCAGCTGTCCTGGGCCCATTCATCACGTGGGATATCAGTCATTTGTATAGTTTTCTAATTTTTTTGGTTGTAAGACTTACTGTCCATGGTTATCATTATTTCTGCTACAAATTAGCCTGAAGAGTTCCCCTCCTAGGCCTGTTTAAATACAGTCCATGTCAGCTCTCTGGGATAAACTGTACCCTATAATAAGCTATCAGCAGTTAACTGAGTCCCAACCATTGCCTCATCTGAAAATACTAAGAAAGTGTTCAGCAAATTGGGGAGAAATGAGCACTAGGGTTATTAAAGATATTTATACCTAAAGAAGGCACAATTTGACTTGGTTGTCCTTGGTCACAGACATCCTGGCTTGGAGGCTACCCCTCCAATCAGGAACCACTGTGGAGTGCCAGAGTGGAGCCTGGATGGCCCTAGAAGTAAAAGCCTGCTGCTCACTTTGCTCAGGATGGTCTTTAACCAGAAGACTTAGCACCCAAGTTTGTCCACCCCAAGACTCTGTGTCCACACCATGTTGCTAAGGCCTGGCCCTGCCTTCTCTATCCTCTGTTGTTTAGTGGTCATTGCTCTCCCCAAGCCCCAGAGCCTTCTGCACAGCAGCTCCCATCTTGCCTTCAGTAGCTAGAGCAGGATGAGCAGAGATAGGCAAAGAGAGCAAAAAAATTTTGGATGGGCACATGGATCATGTATCTAATGGGTGAGTAACTCACTGTAAGGACTTTGATTTTTATTCTGAATGAGAGGAGGAGCCATTGGAGGGTATTTTGGGGTTTGTTTTTTGTTTTGTTTTGTGGGAGGCTAAAGTACAGTGTCATGATCATAGCTCACTGTAGCCTCAAACTCCTGGGCTCAAGCAGTCCTTCCACATTAGCCTCCCAAGTAACTGGGACTATAGGTGAGTGCCATAACACCAGCTAATATTTATTTATTTATTGTAGAACTGGAGTCTTGCTGTGTTGTTTAGGCTGGTCTTGAATTTCTGACTTTTTCTTTTTTTTTGCAGTTTTTGGCCGGAGCTGGGTTTGAACCCACCACCTCTGGCATATGGGGCTGGCGCCCTACTCCTTTGAGCCACAGGAGCCACCCTTGAATTTCTGACTTTAGCCTATCCTCTCACATTGGACTTCTAAAATGCTGGGATTATGTGCCTGAGCCACCATGCCTGGCCCCCATCCTAAGTTTTAACAGAATTACCCTGGCTGCTGTATTGTGAAAAGACTTAGGCAAGGGCAGAAGCAGGGAGATAAATGAAGTGACCACTGCTGTGATCCAGGCAAAAACAGTGACTTGGAAAGAAGGGGTAGCTGATTAGATCTGGATATACTTTGAAGGCTAAGCCAGCAAGATTTATTGAGATTGAAAGTAGGATGTGAGAGGTGACTCCAGTGATTCTAGCTTGAGAAATTGACAGCGGAATTGCCATTGAGTGAGATGGGTAAAGACCTAAGGAAGGGAGTATCCAGAATTCAATTTTGGATTCCACCCCCAAACCTCCCCTCCACTCTGAATGTCCTTTCGAGTAATACTACCAACCACCTAAGCAATTTCCCATATTGCTTATAGGCTGCACATGCATAGGATTCCTCCAGTCCCATTTTCTAGAATGCACTCACAATTTTAGGAATCCAAACTCTTGTTTTTTCTTTTTGTTTTTTTCTTTTCTTTTTTTAGAGACAGAGTCTCACTATGTCATCCTCGGTAGAGTGCTATGGTGTCACAGCTCACAGCAACCTCCAGCTCTTGGGCTTAGGCGATTCTCTTGCCTTAGCCTCCTGAGTAGCTGGAACTACAGGCGCTCACCACAACGCCCAGCTATTTTTCTTTTTTCTTTTTTTTTTTTTGCAGTTTGGCCGGGGCTAGGTTTGAACCCACCACCCTTGGTATATGGGGCCAGCACCCTACTCACTGAGCCACAGGCACCGCTCAGGAATCCAAACTCTTGGTCCTTTGTTGCTCCAGTGCCTTTGCACATGCAGTTCCCTCTGTCTGGATGCCATTTGTCCCTTAGGTCCTTTAAGATGTGTCTCCCCAGTATTACTCCCCTGTGAAACTCCCCGATCTTGACATCTGCAGTGGGAGTTTCTCTATGCTTCCACCAGACCTTGAACTTGTTCCCTGAAGGAGCCCATGACTTCTTAGAAGAATTGGGGTAGTGGGGCTTGAGTTGCCCACCATAGGCAGTGTCTGTAGAACGAGTAGTGGAATAGCTGAGTGTCTTCACCTTTCCCCATCTTTCTGTGAATTTCTGTGTCTATTCCAGATTGCTTCTTGGGCTTTCTAAGTTTTCTTTTGATGATATTGTCATAGGATTTTCTTCTACTTGAACCACCCCAAGCTCACAGGAGTATCACAGGTATTAGTGTCCTGTGGCTGCTTATATACTCATAAGCTTTCATCTTGAAACTTGGAGCCCTGTTAATCCAGGGCTTCAGTTTCCTCGTACGAAAGCTGCTCAGTCCTCTAGCTTGCTCTCTTCAGATCTTTGTCTAGTTTGTTTTGTTTCTTTGCCAGCCATTGTGTACCCAGAAGGGGCTTGAGGACAAAAAGGTTATTTTTACTCCTTCTACTGGAGCTGAGCATTTTCTGGCCTTTCATCTATTCTATTTGCTGGACCAGTGTTTTCAGACAATAATCTGTAGGGAATCTTGGAGCCCTCTCTGGAGTTATGACTATGAGTCCAAAGCCCATTCCTTAGAATATAGATTAGATTCTCTTTCCCCAAGCTGATGGTCTAACAGATCCATGATGGTACAGAGAAATTTGTCTACCTCTCCAGCCTGCCTGTATTAGGGTTCTCCAAAGAAATAGAACCGATAGGATATTTAGAGAGAGAGATTTATTTTAAGAAATTGGCTAATGCAATATGGAGCTGACAGGTCCAAAATGCTCAGGGCAGACTTACATGCTGGAAATTTCCCCTTCAAACTTTGAGATTCCTTTTGTGTCTTATTCCTAGGTATTGGAAAAAATGTAGTTTGCGAGAAGGCAGCAACATCAGTGGATGCCTTCCGGATGGTGACAGCCTCGCGCTACTACCCACAGTTGATGAGCCTCGTGGGGAACGTGCTACGCTTCCTGCCAGCCTTTGTGCGCATGAAGCAGCTGATCGCGGAGCACTACGTGGGAGCTGTGATGATCTGTGACGCCCGCATCTACTCAGGCAGCCTGCTAAGCCCCAGCTATGGCTGGATCTGTGACGAGCTCATGGGTGGTGGAGGCCTGCACACCATGGGCACCTACATCGTGGACCTGCTAACCCACTTGACTGGCCGGAGAGCTGAGAAGGTACATGGGTTGCTCAAGACCTTCGTGAGGCAGAACACGGCCATCCGTGGCATCCGACACGTCACCAGTGATGACTTCTGTTTCTTCCAGATGCTCATGGGTGGGGGGGTGTGTAGCACAGTGACACTCAACTTCAACATGCCAGGCGCCTTTGTGCATGAGGTCATGGTGGTGGGTTCTGCAGGACGGCTTGTCGCCCGGGGAGCAGACCTTTATGGACAGAAGAACTCTGCCACACAGGAAGAGCTGATACTGAGGGATTCGCTGGCCGTGGGTGCAGGGCTGCCCGAGCAGGGGCCCCAGGACGTCCCACTGCTCTACTTGAAGGGCATGGTCTACATGGTGCAGGCCTTGCGCCAGTCCTTCCAGGGGCAGGGGGACCGCCGCACCTGGGACCGCACCCCTGTCTCCATGGCTGCCTCATTTGAGGATGGGCTGTACATGCAGAGTGTGGTGGATGCTATCAAGAGGTCAAGCCGATCAGGGGAGTGGGAGACTGTAGAGGTGCTGACAGAGGAGCCGGACACCAACCAGAACCTGTGTGAGGCGCTTCAGAGGAATAACCTCTGACCTTGCACCTGGGCTCCTTGCCACAGGGCAAAGGGACCAGGGAGGGCACCAAGAGCTATGACCTGATCGAGGGCTTGGTCGTAGCAGAAACAGTGTCTTTCATTTAATGAGTCAGCCAGAGTCAAGTAAAGCTGAAGGTGCTCTGGGAGACCACCCCTTCTAGCAGCTCATTTACTCCCCAGACTTACAGGGCAGTGAGTTGTTCCTATCACCACGGCTTAGGGAGCTAGCACAGTTACGCTAGTGAGCAAAGCCATCAGAAGCTCAATTTGTGGGCTCTGAGGCCTGAGGCGAAATGATAAGAAGCCTTGTTTCCATGCCCTTCCTGAGGTGAGTCATCTCAGGAACGATGAGGGCACCAAATCATCCTTCAGGGATCCTCGCCTGCCCTCCATGTGACCGGGCCCTCCAGCCTCTAGGCTGACCCTTCCCTGATGGGGAGGAGAAGGGTTTTCTTTATTAAGCGAGCTTATGGGGGCTTTTGACCTAGGCAAGAAGGCCCCTGATTTGGCAGAGAGGAGGCAAGAAAGAGGTTTAGAACATCTGATAAATGTTAATAAATAAATAAGAACATATGACACCTGGTTTTTGTTTGGTGGGTTGGGTTTCTTTTTTTTTTTTTTTTTTTGAGACAGAGTCTCATGCTGTCGCCCTGGGTAAAGTGCTATGAGCTCACAGCAACCTCAAACTCTTGGGCTTAAGCCATTGTCTTGCCTCAGCCTCCCAAGTAGCTGGGACTACAGGTGCTCACCACAACGCCCAGCTACTTTTTTGGTTGTTGTTGTCATTGTTTGGCAGGCCCAGGCTGGATTTGAACCTACTAGCTCTGGTGTATGTGGCTGGTGCCCTAGCTGCTTGAGCCACAGGCGCCAAACCTGGTGGGTTGGATTTCTTTAATAATGAAAAGGCTTGGCTCGGCGCCTATAGCTCAACCGGCTAAGGCGCCAGCCACGTACACCTAAGGTGGCGGGTTC